AGGTTTACTCCTGGTTCTTCCACGGGCTGCATGAAAGGGAAGTTGGGGCAAGGGAGCCCACTGATATAGTTCATAAAAGTCAGCTTCCTGGCCCAGTGTAGGGAGCGGGAGGGAAGTGGACCTGGAAGAATAAACAAAGTAGATCAACACAAAGCTGGGCAATAGCTTGAGCAATACCTTGTCCTAGACACTGAGTGCTCAACAGTGAACAAAACAAACAAGGTCCTTATTCATAGAAAGCTTAGAGTCTAACGCGGGGAAGAGAAATGCTGAACTAATTAATATGTTAAGATGATTTCAAGATATTTTAGAAAACCCAAAGCTAGTGGTATGTAAAAATATTGTTTCCATTACATTTTCCTAAATTAAAAAATGAACCATCACCAACAGATAATGCAGACGCCAGGAGACAGTGCTCGGCCTAATTGGCTGTTTATTCTTAAAGAAGAAACCAGGCACTATTTTCCTATCTTGTCTTTTGATCACATGCTTGCTTGCAAAGTCATTCTCTCTTTGATAGTTTGAGAAAACAAATTTTTGGTTTTGGAATGGGCGCCTTGTTTAATCCTGGTTTCTGCAATCTTGGTAAATCAGGGAGAAAGATATGTCCAGTGGGCAACACAAGAATTTTATTTGCGTAAGAAAAAGAAAATAGATATTTTTTTTCTGAGTTGCAGGAACGGAGTCTTGACCATATTTTGGTTTTTAACATCCATTCATCTCAAGAAAGTTTTTGATTTCCAATCTGTTCTTGATTCTATTCAAAGAGAACTATGACATTTCTCTCCACTAATAATACTCTAAAGCTTATTACCCTAAAGCCTCTTTCTTAAAGGCTGTGAAAGGAAGCTGCTTTGGCCAGAAGCTTTGAATGTTTTCTTTGAGGGGGGGAACCTGAAGGTTGGCAAGTGCGTGGGGGTGCAATAGAAGGAGAGTGTTTATTACCAAGACACCAAGTTCTGATGCCCAAATTGACAAGCAATGCCTTAAGTTAGGAAAATGGAGAAGGCCTGGCTGGACTTCAGAAAGACATGCAAACAAATTTACCATGCGATGGGTTCACAATATTAAATTAAGTATCCAGCAATCACAAATCTTATAACACATTCCAGAACAATCGAGTGTGTGAGAGAGAAAGAGACCTCAAACCAGCTGAGCCCGTCTTTAAAGCCTTTTTAATTTCACAGAACCCATTTTTTATGGTATCCAGATATGTTTCTGGCTTTTCAAGCTGTCACATGATCTCTTGTCCAGATGTGAGGGTGTATATCTGGGACTGGACCAGCCAAAAACCGCAGCACTTTTCCTTCAGCTCGTAGCTTGTTACTGTAACTCAACCGTAGTCCTCTCAGCTACAGAAGCCCCACATTAATATGTGGTACAACAACAATAACACAGGAGGGGATAAAGTTAACCAAAACATTCACATGAATCTGGAAAGGAGGAGAGGCGTGGGGCGGGGCGGGGGCGGAGAGGGAAGGAGAGCCAGCTCAGATAGGTTTATTTGTCAGCCCCACACAACACTGAAAATGAAACCTCCAAGTGTGCGGTGGTCTGAAAACTTCCCTTTTTCTCACCTACTGTGAACAGCTTTTACCCGAGGACAAGGCTTCCTGGAGCTTTCTTCAGGAAATTAGCAAATGCCTCTGTTTGGAACGTCAGGTTGCAGGAAGCCACAGCAAGGCCAGAAAAGTGCCTCAAGAACCACAGAGTGTAGAGCTTCTCCTTCAAAGAAATTTCTGGAAGCCCAGGCCTTCACCACAGAGCACGCGGGAACAGGAGAGAGAGGGCAACCGCCTGCCTGCCCGACTTTGCACTTTTGCCAGAGACCTCTGAGGGACCGGCCCATCAAGCGGCTCAGAAGGCTTCTGGCAATCAGTTACGCTGGTGAAGCCAAGGTTTCTTTGTGTATGAAGCAGGGACAGTAATAGAACCTGCCTGGAGGGGATGTTTTCAGGATTAGAGGAAAGCACTTAGCATCTCGCCTGCCTCAGTGAGTGTCTTCATTCATTCTTGAAGCCACGAATGTTGACCAAGCACCTACTATGCATCCCTGTTCTAGAGTCTTCGGCTACCTCTCTGAACAAAACAGATGAAGATCCTGACCACAAGGAACTTACATAAGGATGGGGTGGCGGGGAATCACATAATAAACAAGAAAACAAATTCATACCTACAAAGGCGACACGTGCTATGGCAAAAAAAAGAAAGACAAAATCCTACGGGGGGAACAGGAGCATCTGGGAAGTAGGCACCATTTAATAAGGTGGTAAGAAACGTGGCTTTTAAATTAATTAAACAAATCGAACATTATTTATAATCTTGTCTTAATTCACAAAGGACATCTTTCATGCCAGTGGGCTCTCCCACCCTATCTCTAGCCCTAACAAATGGCTTCATGAGAATGAATGTTCAAAGCCAGATAGTGCTGGGGGCCTCAGAGGCCTCCCCCATTGATGATCCTGCTCCCCTGTCTGCCCAGCGCACCTCGAAGGTTCACCAGGCCTAGAACTGCGCCTCTGACTAGTCATGGAGTTGGAACAAGTGGCCTCTCTTGAGCATGCATTGTGCAGCTGGCTCCTGCTGGCTTAGCCTTAAAGCAGAGAGGGTGAGGCAAGTCGAGCTCCATGTCCCCTTTCATGCGATTCTGATTCTCCTCTAAAGGGGCACAAAAGGTGAGAGCCAACAGTGTATTAGGGGGAAGCCTTGAATTCTTCTTCGCCTTAGCTCCCATCCTTGCAGGTCCGCAGAACCCGGATGCCAGAAGAAAACTCTATCTCGGGCCCTCCCCCGACACACTCTGCTTTCAGGACACTTCCTTCTTCCTTGGAGTGTCAATCCCTCCAAATCCTCTGTGCTCTGCTCGGTTTGACTTCAGCTCCCGTGGTGAAAGGGAAGATTTATTTCCACAACGTTCTGTGGAGAGTGTTTCATAGAAGACGTATTGTTTCTAGCAAGATCTTCACCAGGGCTGAGGAAGAGGCAAGAAATCTCCCCCGGAAATAATGCCACATTTCTTGGAAATCGTTGACTCTGCAAAAGAAATAAAGAAAAACCCATAATCATTTCAGCTAAGTAGTATGCAGCTATCTATATTTTATGTTTAAATACATGCAGGTATGTGGTACAATGCACATATACACATGTTCAATCATACAATCTTAGGGTCAGAAGGGTACTTATGGTAGAATTTCCTCTCTTACTATAATGCACTGTGAATTATGCCTACATTAAGTGTAACATGGGTTACAGCCAAGGAGAAATATCTCCCCAGCTGCAGTTCGGCCAGTCTACTGAAATTCTGCAGATGGCACCTGACAATGCCAGGATCTTAATCCACAACCTAAATTATGAGAATTAAATTAATTTTAAAATACTTTGATTTAGTTTAAGGTGAGTTTAAAGGCAAAGAGGTTAACAAAAGACTTACTAAGTTTTAGCAGTGGTTTATATCTCTAGCTACACACTAGAATCACCTGGACTGCAGTATTTTTAATTCATACCTATAGAGAGCCTTATTCACAAAGTATTCACAAAGTAGTCCAGCATGCATTATGCTAGGCTAATTTTTGCAGCAGTAAAGTATTCTGCTTCTAATAATGAAAATTTGTGGCAAGAAGGCTCAAACGTAATTAATTAACTTCTCAATAATATCTAAAATGAAATCACTCTCCTCTCCCTCCATAGCCACACTGTGATTGATTGATTCATTGATTGATTGATTGATTTTTTGAGTTGGGGTCTTGTCTGTCACCCAGACTGGTGTCCGGTGGTGCTGTGATCATGGCTCACTGCAGCCTCAAGCTTCCAGGCCCAAGTTTCCGCCTTCGGAGTAGCTGGGACTACGGGCACACCACCATACCCAGCTAATTTTTCTATTTTTTTATGGAGATAGAGTCTCACTATATTGGCCAGGCTGGTCTCTTACGCCTGGCCTCAACTCATCCTCCTACCTCAGCCTCCCAAAATGCTGGAATTATAGGCATGAGCCACTATACTTGGCATGCCCTGATATTTTTTATTGGCCTTTGAAGAGGGCCTTTTGATTCATCTTGCTGCAAAAAGGTAGAGTAGTGGAAAGAATCATAGACTAGGAATCAAGAAACATGGTCTTCTGCTCTGACGCCAATAACTGTATGCTTCTATGTCTGACCTCAGCTTGCTCTTTCATAAAATGGGCAGATTGTCCAGGGTAACCTTAAAAATCCCTTCTTTTAGAAAGAGAGCATTGAGGTTGTAGGAGTGTGGATTTTGGAGTCAGAGAGGTAAGCCAACTCAGCCACTTCGCAAGCAGGCGACCTTGGTTTGTCTCTGAGTTTCAGAACAGCCATTGGTAGGTATTTCATGGGAAAATGAATAGAGATGTGGAAATTTTGCAAAATAGATGCAATTACATATTCTTTTTTATTCCATTATATTCCCTTTCTCTCCTCAGACCCCTTCCCTTGCACCCTGAATTAACAGACGATTCAAGTAAAGTATGAGTTTTTTAACCAAAGAAACCCATCCAAATGACAAAAGGAAATTTCTACCTTGCACCCTTTTCTATCCAGTAGAATTACTCTTAGAGTCTACCCATGTGACCCAAAAGAAACAGAATTATCAGGACCAGGAACAGTGGCTCACACCTGTAATCCCAGCACTTTGGGCGGGAGAGATGGGCGGATCCGAGGTCAGGAGATGGAGACCATCCTGGCTAACACAGTGAAACCTCATCTCTACTAAAAATACAAAAAATTAGTCAGGCATGGTGGCATGTGCCTGTAGTCTCAACTATTCAGGAGGCTGAGGCAAGAGAATCACTTGAACCCAGGAGGAGGAGGTTGCTGTGAGCCAAGATCTCGCCACTGTACCCCAGCCTGGGTGACAGAGCAAGACTCCCTTGTCTCAAAAAAAAAAAAAAAAAAAAAGAAAGAAAGAAAAGAAACAGAATTGTTGATGCAATCAGCAGGATCTCTACATTCAATTCACTTCCTGGAGTTTGTGATTCCCTTTGGTACTTCGAAGGCAGACGTTTTAGGCTACGGGAGGACAAGCAGTCCGTGGAAACCTCCAAATCCCATTCCTCATCACCCACTGGCTTTTCCAATGTTAAATGAATCTTACTTGCCTCGGCCACTTCCTTTAATCTCATCAAGGACAGGCCCTCAGAGTGGCTATCTTCGGGAAAATTTGATTGTTTCAGTCTTTTCATGGGAGGGAAGACTCTCTGGAGAGAGAGGAGAAATGAAGGTTAACATATTCTTGTCATTCCTGAATGACCTTCTAATAGCTTGGGTGTCCTGGGAATTTTTCCAGCCCTCTGTGTGGAAGGCTTTCTACTTTGAATGAAATAATCCACTTGAACAGTCCAACAAGTCAAATCCAATGGGAGATAAGCCAAGCATCATTCTTTGCCACTTTTAGCCAACTTATAGGTATAGAATATAAGTTTGGTGTCTGGATCATTTTGTGAGCCTGGCCATTGGAAAAACATCTAAATCTGACTTGTTCCCTGAATGAATATGACTTGGAGTGTGGGGGTGGAAGGGAGAAGAGAAAAATGAACTGGAGCTGTGTGAAATTTGACAGTTTCAGTTCACAGGGGTTTGAGCTAACTTCTTTCAGTTTCAGTTCATGCAGGCTTCCCTCCTTTGGAGAGAAGATTTGACTTTCGGGCTGAAAGAAGCTAAACAGAGCCAAAACCACATTATTTGACGTACTTTCAGGTTGAGTTGAGGAGAAGAAAGAAGTGGAAAGGTTGCCCCAGCCTCATTCCAATTTCTCCTACAAAAACCCGCACCTGGTTTACCTCCAGAGTTCTCTGTTTCCTGGTCAACTTTCCTCCCAGCTAGATTCAAGTTGAATTGTAAACCCAAATCCCTACATATTTAGCTTATCCTGGAGGCCCACTCCCTGAGCTCAGGAAGAGCAGGGCCAGTCTGAGGAGGAACAGAGCCTACCTTGAAAGATCCATATGCCCCCAAATGTCCCTACTGACTCTGTTGACCTTCCTAAAATCCCCGTTGGGGCCAGGGATAGTGACCAGCAAAGAATCTGGAGTTGAACTTCACTCCCACATCTTACTATCTATGACAGGCGTCCCCAAACTTTTTACACAGGGCGCCAGTTCACTGTCCCTCAGACCGCTGGAGGGCCGCCACATACTGTGTTCCTCTCACTGACCACCAATGAAAGAGGTGCCCCTTCCTGAAGTGCGGCGGGGGGCCGGATAAATGGCCTCAGGGGACCCGCATGCGGCCTGTGGGCCGTAGTTTGGGGACACCTGATCTATGGAGTCTTCAGTGGGTTAATCAACTAGGCTCTTGACCCAAACCTTAATGATTTTCTTTAAGTTCTAAAATTTGTCTTATTATAATACTAAAAATCACATTTTTCCCCCTTTGTGGCAAACTCAACTTATTTAGTAGAGACTCATTCATCCGTTACTAGCCCAGTCCCCAGAAAAGTGCTAAGGGGTTTTGGAGGAGTTGATAATTTCCAACATTAAGAAATGTTTAGGAGAATAGGAGACTGCTAGGCCCTCAGGTGGGGGCGAGGATGAAGCTTGGTGAGCTCAGGAGGAAGTAGGAGGAGGTTTATCTAGTAGAGCTGGGGGGTATTGAAATCAACCCCACCTATTCCACAATTTGACCACAGACAGGAGACACCCTCCTACAGATGTGCACAGTTCCTCTGAAAAACAAAAGTCCCCTCACCAGCCGCAGGGACTGCAGCAATCCCTCCCGGTCCCAACCTTTTCTGACTGAGGCCATCATTCAGCCCAAATCACATCTGTCCTTCTGAGGTCTTGGCCTGAGGAAATCAGTCACAGAATGACAATACCCCTACTCCATGTTACCTGGCATTTCCAAATAGAAGGATAAAGGGAAAGAAGGAGATGGAGGAAAAGATAATCTTCCACGTAGGGAGAACAACTGCTCCTAAAGTGGCTTCGGTTTCCAAAAATTAATTTGCACACGCCCTGAGAAAATTCCTGCAGCAGGTGGAACTACTTCAGGCAGTGATCACTTACTGGACGGAAAAAGAGGGAGCAGATCGAATCCAGAATAAGAAGAGGATCGTTAATGAATACGAATGGGCCCCGGTCAGTAAGACTGTGGTTTACCTGACGTTTTGAGTAAGCAGCATGTCCATATTACATGGTTAGAAGAAGAGACTTAGTGAATCCTATCAGGATGGTTTTCAGGGTCTTTTTTGTTTTGTTTTGTTTTGTTTTGTTTCTCTAGAAGAAAAGCAGCTAAAACTCTCAAAGGCTGACCTGAACTCAGTATTGAATCAAGCTGACCTTTGACAAGGTAGGTCACAAGAGCTGATTCCACAAGCCACACATGGTAGGCAGCTCTTTACATGTATATCTCAGACGACTGCAGACAACCCAGAGGCTGAGCAGCCAAGGCTGTGCGGGGGGAAGACTCTACCCATGCTACAAGGTCAGGCTAGACACAGCTGCAGGAAACAAGGGTTTTGGGAGAAGGAGGTAGTTCTGATTGAAAAAAACAAAACAAAACAAAACAAAAACCCAGAGGCACAAATCCAAAACTCCTCTTTGCCTGGATCAAAAAAGACTCCCAGTTATCAAAGCAAAGGTTGTAGGGCTGCCTTTCTCCAAATTCCGTAAATCCCCTGCAGCAGTAATTACTAATTATCCACTAATAGCTAGCTATTCTCTCTCTCTCCCACACTACTAAGATCCCTGATACTTTGTGCAGTGCCTGGATGCCAGATTAAAGAACATATTTCTCAACCTTGTTTGCAGTGAAGTGTGACCATGTAACTCATCCCTTACCTTTGTGATTGAAGTGATGTGTTTAACTTGTTGGAAGTGGTTTAAAAAGACAGTTTGTGCCCTTTCCTCCTGCCTTTTTCCTGCCCATTGCCTGGAATATAGATATCATGGTTAGCACTCCAGCAGCCATTTGGGACCATGAGACAAGCTAGACAAGCCACACATCATGGAGGACTAAGATTAAAGATGCCTCTTCCTCTGACACCATGAAGAGTCATTGGAGCCCTGGGCTGACCACCTCCACACTTCTTGAACGTAAGGTGTAAATAAACTTCTATCTTGTTTAAGCTGCCACTCACAGCTAAGCCTAATTGTAATTGATACATTACCTTAATAGGTTGCATATATTCTCACTTTATTTCCTCTACCAACAATTTCAGTTATTCAGTTAACACAAATTAAAATGAAGGCTAGCATTTATAGAGTGCTTCTTGTGGGCGAGCCACTGGTCTAAGTGCTTTATATGAATTAATTTGTCACAACAACATATGCGGTAAGTACTTTTTTCTGTTCAATGATATTTATTTTATAAAAATGTCTGCAATAGCAAAATATAGGAAACAACCTATATTGGTAGGGAACTAATCTATTGGCTGTGTATACATGTGTATTAAAAGAATAGATTATGCAGTTCTGGCCGGGCACGGTGGCTCATGCCTGTAATCCCAGCACTTTGGGAGGCTAAGGCGGGTGGATCACAAGGTCAAGAGGTTGAGACCATCCTGACCAACATGGTGAAACGCTGTCTCTACTAAAAATACAAAAATTAGCTGGGCATGGTGGAGCACACCTGTAGTCCCAGCTACTCGGGAGGCTGAGGCAGGAGAATTGCTTGAACCCAGGAGGCAAAGGTTGCAATGAGCCAAGATCACACCACTGCACTCCAGCCTGGTGAGAAGAGAGTGAGACTCCGTCTCAAAAAAGAAAAAAAAAACGCAGTTCTATATATATATATTGATATAGAAAATTCTCCCAAGTGTGTGATTAAGAAAAAAACAAAACAAGATATCAAAGTGTATTTTTACAATCAGAAAACTGAAGCATAGAGTGCTTAAGAACTTGCTCAAAGTTACTTGTAAAAGGTTCATGTAAATGGTTTGGTATCTGAATCCAGTTTTCTGATTTCAATCGTGAAAAGTAATAGAGAGGACAGGTTGACCTGGGTTTGCACCCTCCCACTGAGGTTCACAAGGACAAAGGAATCTATCCACTGAGCAGAAAATTGGATCAGATGATTTTTGAGATCCATCCTAGTTCTCAAAATTCCATAATTCCACCAAAGGGCAACATTGTAAGATCCTTAGGTAACCAATAAAGATTCACTTATATGCCTTACAGTTCTCTTCCTGATGGGAAAGGAGTGAACTGTTTTAGATATATTTTCAATTCCAAGAGGATTCTAGATGCATTTGAAAACTCAGAACTTGCATTTCTCCAAGTTTCTGGTTAATCAAGCCTTTTCTCCATCCACTCAGGATTCATTCAGTCAAGAGCAACTAAATTATTTCATATTCAAGTCACTGTGCTAGGCGGTCAGAGATATTTAAAGATAAAACAAAACAAAATAAAATAAAAGACATGACATTGCCCACACCCTGCAAAAGCCTATGAACTGTTAAAAGAGTTCTATAAAAGAATCTTGGGCTTGAATTCAGAAGACCTTGGTTTACCTGAATCTTAGGAATTCATTTTTTTTTTCTCTTTGAGTATGTTTTCTCATATTTGAACTGGGATTGATAACACCTAGCTCAAATAGTTAGCAGGAAGATTAAGTAGCGCTCATAAAACACATTGTAAATCAGAAAAACATTATGAACACGTAATTCTTAGCTGCTCTTCCTAATCTATGCACCACCTTCACATACATTTTCTCTGTCATTAGCTCCTCATTACAATGCTGTGAGATATGTAGCATGGATAATATTATTCCCATATGACAGTTGCCTCAGAAGGAAACCAACACACAGAAACATGAAGAACCTTGGCCAAGTTCATGCCTATTTCATAGCAGAGTCAGCTCTTAGAGAAGATGCCAAAGCTGAAATCCTGACTGTGCCATCTCCAGAGAGTGAAGCAACAGAGGGAACCTGGTGATTAAGAATATGGTCCCTGCACTATTCACCATAGTAAAGACATGGAATCAACCTAAAAGCCCATCAGTGACAGATCAGATAAAGAAAATGTGGTGTATATACACTATGGAACACTATGCAGCCATAAAAACGAATGAGATCATGTCTTAAAGGCAGGAACAGGGACAGAGCTGGAGGCTATTACTCTTAGGAAACTAACCGAGGGACAGAAAACCAAATACCACATGTTCTCACTTATAAATGGGAGCTAAATGATGAGAACTTAAGAACACAAAGAAGGAAACAACAGACACTGAGGTCTACTTGTGGGTGGAGGATGGGAGGAGAGAGAGGAACAGAAAAGGTAAGTATTGGGTACCAGGCTTAATACCTGAGTGATGAAATAAGCTGTACAACAAATCCCTGTGACACGAGTTTACCTACACCACAAACCCTCACATGTACCCCAGACCCTAAAATAAAACTTTAAAAATAAATAAATAATGAAAATAAATAAAATACATTTTTTAAAAAGAACATGGGTTCTGGGACCAGACTCCCTGAGTGTGAATCCCAGATCCACCACTGCAACCCCTAGGACTCTTGGAAAGTGGTTTACTTTCTCGGTGCCTTGACTTCCTCATCTGTAAAATGGGGATGTGATAAGATCAGAGGGCAATGAAGGTTAAGTGAGTCTGCAACATTTTGCTCAGGTATTGGAAGTTTTATTTTCAAATCTCTCCATTACAAATGGCACCCCTCCTAAAGGACTGTGCTGTGCTGGGTTAGGAGGAGTTTTGAAGTCTGTTGCCCTGTTTTGCCTATCCTTCCTTCGGTTCATGGATGTCTGGTGTCCACACCTTTAGCTGTGGTCCAAAACCTCAGGAGGGAAAAGGACATTACAAGAAGCATGTTGCTTCCTCAGCTGGAAAGCCAGAACCGCTGGCTGTGAGCTCACCCTGTGAGGGGAATTTCCACCTCTGAACAAGAAAAAGTAGACTCCACTGAGCACCAGAAGCAAAGTAGGAAGGAGAGACCAACCCCGGACTGTCCAGGTTCGACTCTTACCATGTAAACACTCCCTGGCTGTACGCAGACACCCATGGCCACACTGGTGTATACATTTACATTAGAGTGAAGCGGATGAATTGGCTCAATTCACTAACACTCTTGTTTTATTTGGAGCCATGAACACTGGACTGCCAAGTGAAATGGCTGTCTTAGAAAGCGCTTGTGTATTTAAAGAAATATTGCATGCATTTTAACCGGAGATTTCCTCTGTGTGTTTATTTCCAACAGTGTGAGTGCCAAAGGGTGGTAAGTTTGCTGCATCTCATCTGCGGTTGTTGGGGTAAGATGAGGGGCTCGCCTGAGAACACTGAAAGACGGGAGACAGGAGTGAATTGGAAGTCAGTGGGGTTCATCTATTCTTCATTGTTCAGTGGGGCGCAGGATATTGGAAATTCTTCCGAAGTCAGGGTGCTTGCTGATGGTGTATTTTATCCAAGCCATCATTGTAATGCTTCCTGTTTGAATACTGCTTTGCAGATTAGAGTTCCTTCATACACACTCTGCCAGTCACTAGGCAGCAGGAAAACTGCTGGTCTTCCTGCCTCGTTACATCGTAGGGCATGTGTAGGGTGACCCTGTGCTCGGATAGGGCACACAGGCTGCAGGGACAGGAGCCACACCATTACGAAACTGCTGCCATGTCCCGGCATGTAATCTCGGACAGGTTACTCAACCTCCCTCGTATTCCTGTTTAAGGGCTTGTGAGGATTGAATGAGTTAATGTTTGTAAAGAACTTAGGACAGTACCTGACCCATGACAGTCACCTGGTCCAATTGAGAATGCAATAAACATTAATGAAAATAACAGCGATTAAGGTGACGAGGATGATAGCGATGGTAGCAACGATGATGTGAGGATGGTGAGGACACTTCTCTCTCCTCCTTCTTCGTAAAATAACAAAAACAGACTCCAGTCACTTAAGGCCAGGAAGCCACTTGATGGGCACTTTATAAACGTTGTGTCTAATATTTACAATGCCTATGTTTGTTTGTTTGTTTTAGGCTAAGTCTCACTCTGTTGACAGGCTAGAGTGTAGTGGCATAATCTTGGCTCACTGTAACCTCCGCCTCCCAGGTTCGGGCAATTCTCCTGCCTCAGCCTCTTGAGTAGCTGGGATTACACGCTTGCCACCACGCCCAGCTAATTTTTGTATTTTTAGTAGAGACGACGTTTCACCATGTTGGTCAGGCTGGTCTCGAACTCCTGACCTCGTGATCTACCCGCCTCGTCCTCCCAAAGTGCTGGGATTACAGGTGTGAGCCAGTGCGCCCAGCCACAACGCCTATCTTATAGTTGGAAAAACTGAGGTTCAGGAAGGGTATGAACTGGCCAGGGGTCACAGCACCAGTCAAAGGTGGAGGATTTGGATCTGCATATATTCAATTCATGCCTTTTCTGCCATGTCACACTGCACATCTCCACATCATCTTCCGGCCCTTGGAGCCAACTGAATACTTCCTCTGAAAAGTTCACTTCTGGATCGTTTCTCTTTCATCTCGGCATTTTGTTTCACTTTTGTCTTTACTTTAATGCCATCTACCAGCTTATATTCCCAGGTTTCCTGTTGATTATACCCCTCATTTGCAAAGTGTCTTGTGGAATTCAAGAGTGTGTTCTGAGGTTCCAGGCTACTTCAATACCAGCTTGGAAATCCTGGGTTACTTGGACAATGTATAGACTGGAAGTGACAATGGCACATGATCCTGTAGAAACTGAGCCACTGGCATGTCCCAGGCATAGTCCCACGTGCGCGGATGATGGCTCCATTCTCACAGGCCTACATTCTGGAGCCTGATACGTGCAAATCCCAATACATAGAAAGGAAATAATTATATCACCTCTATTTCACCAAAACTGCATTCGAAAACCATGCATTTTAAAGCAGTCATAGTTTTGGCCCAGTCTTGTGTTCAAAATATCAGAATCCAGCCCCTTCTGAGAGAGAAAAGAGAAAAAGGAGGCCCAGGTTCAAGTCTTGGCTCTTCTTTGCTGATCTGTGATCTTAAGTAAGAATGTATCCCTCTGAGCCTCACATGATTCCTATTCAATAAAGATAATACCCCATAACAATGCCTTGCTTTTATCTAATACTTTTAGCCATCAAATAAGTTTCACATCGGTATCTCATTTAATCAGGCCAAACCTGGTCACCCAAGTCTTGTTAAGCATCGACTCCCTGGATCTCTCTAGAGTGTGATGAACTAGCAGCCAACAACCCACACACCCACCATTGAGTGGCCCCACCCCCTTGTGCTGATCAGGGCAGAGAATTCTGAGAGGATCCCCAATATCACCAGATGTGCTGGCTGAAGACTTCTTTAAGTGTATGCACCTTAGAGTGCTAAATTCAATTCCCACCTCTCCAGTAGCCAGCCATGTCACCTTGGGAAAGCTGCTTGACTTGTCTGTACCTTGGTTTCCTTATTACTAAATGGGAGTAATCATATTTGGGATTGTTTTGAAGATTCAATCAAATAATGTATGTGAAGAATTTAGGACACCAAGCAATTAAAAATTGGCATGTTTTGAAAATAGCTAATTCTTATCAAGTAGAGTCAGGAGGAAGAAGAAAGAAGGCTCAGGAGAAATAGCAAGTGTTCAATATGTCTTGAACATTGACCCTAGGAAAGGACATCTTAAGGTAGCCTGGCTTCAACCACCACAAAGAGATGGACATGTCTTGGAGTGGATACAAACTGACTAATTTTACAGGTGAATAAGCAAGTAATCACTCAGAAATACTAAGATACTGACATCACACAGGTAGCTAGTGAGTTTCTTGAAGATGAGAGCTACATGGATCTTATTCACGGCTGTCTCTCCACCCCTTCCCTGGCAGGTGGCTGTTGCTGGGTATGTTTGTTGTTGCTTTGCCTGCCTCGCTGGGCAGCGTGTCCCTCCCAGAGGAATGGTGGCAGGAGGTGATGCTATGCCCAACAAGTGGGTGTGGCGACAGAGAAAGATCAGAGTTATTAAAAACTCTACTCACCAGGCTACTCCTGTGTCCCTACGGCCTACTAATGATATGAAATCCCACAGGCTCTTCTGCGGAGCTCTGAGCTTCAGCCTCACCTGCCTCCACACAGGAAGAAAGTATTACCACCATGCAGTTGTCCGAAAGCCTTCCTCTCTTGCAAACAGCCTCCTCTCCCCGAACCCACCAGCAGGAATGATGCCTGATGCACACCTCCAGGCTTCAACCTCTGTCTCACCTTTTAGTGTCATCTCAGCTCCCATCCAGTAACTCCCCTATGGTGGCACTTCCGTAAACCTGAAATTTCCTCCTTCTCCCTTAAATCTGAGGGATTCAGACTCTGGTGGTTCCAGGATGACGCCACTTGTTGTCCTACTCTTGCTCCACTCTGGGGCACGGCTCTCCCCTCCTTACCTGGGAGGAAGCTTTACTCACCTCATCCTCCAAGGCTCACCCGTCCTGAGGCCAGGTAGTTCTAGAGGGTGGATCTCTAAGGCAGACGTTGCAGGACCCAAGCAAGACCATACAGTTACTGGGCCCTTAGGCGCAGCCACAGTGGACAACAGTAGAAGGCTGTGAGGGCTGAGGGTGCAAACAGGACAGAGCCAGAGCTCACAGGAAAGACAGAAGAGATTGGAGCTTTCATGGTGAATGGGCCACATGCGCCCAGTCAATAGCCAGGAGGATTCTGACAGGTCCAACTTGGTATAGAAGGAGATGCCCTACTGAGAACACCTTAACCAACCGTTACATCTGAGAAAGAACTGGGAGACATGGGACTAGCCTGATGGTGAGACAGAGACCCAGACGAGTCATAATGGGGAGTGAGAGCACCCTAGGTCACCTGAAATCTTGAAAAACATGGGTTTCAAAGCCAAATAGGCATGGATTTTAGTCCTCCCTCTGCTCTTTTAAGCGGTGGTACCTAGAGCAGGTCACTGACTCTCTCAAGCCTCAGTTTCCTTATCTCTGAAATGGGGCTGTCATTATCTCAACAGTATTGATAAGGAGATTAAATGGAAAAATGTGCATAAATCCCTAAGTCCTGAAACTGGCCTATATTCTGAGCACATAAATGATTCTCCACTGCCTTTGGGATCAGGTGCAAACCCCTTACTCTATGACTGTAAACCTTACACAAACACCATTAATTTGATTTTACACTCAGCAATTTATTTTTTTTAATGATTTTCAGAATACACACTACAAGATACAAGGCTCAACAAAATCTTGCTGGTAGCAATATACATAAAAATTTGCAGTCCTGTCCATAGCAGGGGTCAGGATTTGCTCGGCATGAAATTGTCATGCTCCTCAGTAGAGGATAAGATTACATAAAAGAAAATCCTGGACTCAGAGGTTGCCTCAGAGTCCCTCTGGCTGCAAGATTCTAAGTGTCACTGGGGGAAGGCCAGGAGAAGTGGAAGACAGAATCATACACCTCCGAGCCTGAAAGGGATTGAAGAATGAGTACCGTGACAAGGATATGTCTTCCACACTCATTTTGCCTAAGTCTGGCTCTGGTCCCGGGCCACACTGTAGCAGGTTTTAGAGGCTGAATTGCTTCTGTCAGCCTCATCACAAAAAGGACTAAGAAAATGCTGGAGTTCAAATGACCATCCATATTCTAGAGCATTCCAGAGTCTTCCCAGGAGTTCTCAAGCCATTAGCCAAGCTGAAACATGACACCGAATATTTAAGGGGAAAAAAATTGTTGCCATCTTTTGCTTTCAGAATACCTGCCACGAATTTCAGGACTTGTCTTCCACCCGCCCCCTGTCTCTCCTCTTGCTGGAGCCAAGTGCGCACAGGATTCTGGCAGCTTCCACGTTCCTCACACCAAGTTCTAGCCTTCTCAAGAACCAAGCACCTGCCACGACTGCTTCTACTGGCTGGACTTCCGGGGGCACCTTGCTCTTGGTTGGGATGTGATGCAAACTACAGCGATTGAGAAGCAGCCAGGCCTTGGCCTTCTTTCCTCTGCCCCAGAACATCCATCTCCTGTTACATCTGCCCACCTGATTGACCACACACCCCTTTCTGCAAGGGCTGGCTAAG